CAGGATGAGTAAGTAAAACTCAGCTATGCCAGTGGAGCTGAACTAAAAGTACAATTTCTTCATAGAACCTTTGTTTTTCTCCTAGTGGCAGGAAGAATTTTAAGAGAAAAATTTCTGGAGTTTGGAAGGAAAAAAGCCAGAGACTTGTTGAATTTTTCAGGGGTTTTATAACATATTTATAAGTTCTTTAGGGCATGGCTTTTGAAATGTAGTGATCCTCATACAATTCATGCGAAACAATCCTTCATGTCCATTGTTTACCCTTGAACAAATTACACAGGAGGCCACTTTACTATTAAAAGGAGAAACTGAGCTGGAGAACAGATTGCCTAATTTTTCTATAAATGGAAATATTTTTAATATGCTCTTGCATTGTAATACAACTCCAAATCAGGGTCATCAATCTTGAAATATTTCTGTCAGACTCACAAGAATGTACAATTAAATCTGTCTGAAAGGTCAAATTCCCTGGAATAGTCATTACCATCCTTCTACCAAAAGTAGCAGCATCATGAATATTATGAAATAAGCTAGTTTATCAGGAATGATTATATGCAGAAATGAGTGTCACACTGTCGCTGAGGACTAAACCAACTCAGATTAACATATTTGCTAGAGTTTAAATATATTATATGCATAGTTACCATGACTTGGCGGCTATGAAGTAACACACCGCCTGCAGCCCGTACCTGACGTGTCATGAACAGTTTTCTCTATTTTATCAATCATCTTTGTGGCTGCTGGCTGCTCACTGGAGATTGTGCCAGCCTGGCCAGCTCAGTGATTCTTCAGTCATTTTTAGTGACTTACCTGCCTTTGGGATATGTCAACGAGAACAGGACAAGCACCTCATCCCACCAGTTTGAACAGGGTCTGGATCAAGATCTCTGCTATTTGGAATAATTAAAAAGAAGAATTAGTTGCACTATGTCCACGTGTCTTGCTGGTGAATAGGGCAAAAACACTGCAGTACGGTATAACGTCAATCTGAAGCATTTTGCTAATTATTACTTGAATTAACTAAGACAAATAATTGTCTGTACTGCTGCAGTACTAACTGATATTTTCATTTAAATGTGTGGGTTTTGATCAATCCCAATTTCTACCTCAACTTGAATATTTGTGATTGATGTGTTTTTTGCAGTGAAGGATTTCTGTGCACATTGCATTTACATTCCCCCACATGCCCTACAAGATACTACTTAGTTACCATTTATTAGTAACATATTAAATAACATATCAGTAACATAACGTAACAGCTATCAACATATCTTAGTAACATATTAAGAAACACAAGTGCTTCAGTTGGTGATATATTTCAAGATTGAAAATCAGTGTTACACCATTTGAGTATCTTTGCTTTTATATTTGAAATAAATACTCGTGTTCGTAGCCTAAAATAAGAAGTGTAGTTTTGTTTTATAAAATATTGCTATATAAAATGGTAAATAACTGGGGAATACTTGCCTAAGTTTGTGAGGCAAGATGTTACAATTACTTCATATTTAGGTGGTCTTAAAATACAAAATGTTCTGTCCATTGGTTCTAAGTCGGAGAAATAGTGGTGTGTATGGCCAGCCTTAAGCATCTGAGGCGTCTCAGAGAAATCTGTGTAGCTATTTGCACGCTTACACAGGACATGTACTTACGTGGTGTGGTGGTTCAGGATCTCACCTACTGCAAATTAGGTTCTGCAGTTCTGAGCACCGAAGATTATTGGAGACTTTGGTATCTGCAGCAAATTGGACCCTTCTGACTCACTTCCATTTTTTTAATGTAATTACTATTCATTTCTTCAGCTGTCATATTAATATTTTGTTGTGGATTTAAAAGAATGACTCATTTCTCTTGAAATGCAGCTTTAATATATCTCAGTGTGAAAACTATTCAGATATGCTGTAATACTTAATTCTCAGGAGTAAAACAATCTACTCTTAGATTTACAAAAGGTGGCTATTAGTGCATCAGGTTAAATCCCATTTAGTCTACAGAACAAGGCAAATACTGCAAAAAAAGTATCTGCGTGTGGTTGTTTGACTTTAGAATAATTCTTTTAAGTCTCACTCGTACATTTTTGTGTCTGCTTGGTGTTGAGAAGTATAATCAGGTGGGTTTTGATCTGACTGCTCATGAAAAGAAGGTAGGGAGCTATGTGTGTGAAGGAGTTTAAAAATAGGAGGAAAAAAGAGATGAGGAAAAGAAAAAGATTAAAAATAAATAAATAAATAAATGAAGCAAAACCAAAAGCACATGCACCGGAGTGTTTAAAACCACTGTCAGTGTATTTTAATACTGGAATTTTCAGCATCAAAGTGTAGCGCGGTCCACCTGAGCAGCAGTTGCCTCCACTAGGTGACAGCAACAGTAAATTGTTTTCCTTAGTACATTTAGAAAAGATTTTAATGGTTGAGATTTTAATGGTTGATTGTGTCAGTGCATGACCCATTTTCTGGGAAACCAACTTGAGATATCTTAAGAGGTTTGTACTTAACCTTTGCCTACCCTGAAAGCGTGGCAGTTTCAAGACATATTAAAGTGTACAGCCAAAAGAATGCTACTCCTTTGTACAATAACTGTCTCAGATTGTTAATGAACAAAAAACTCCAATAGATTTTGTTGGCCAAAGCCCACTATTTTTCCAACTGCAGATACTGAAATCGTACAGACTGCAGTTCAAAGACATATCTAGAGTTAAGATAACCACAAAACAGTCAAGTATTTTTACATTACAAACATGTTAAAGTAAATCAGCATAGTGTGTAGATCATTAGTACTAAATTTTTCTAACAAATAATCTGTTGTAAAGTATTTACTTATTCTTAGCAATATACTAAAAGTAGAAATTTTCTGCTTCCATTGTTGGTTTCATTAGAGTTAGTTCTAATTGATCACCCATGTCCTAAAACACATGCTTTTGTTTGGTTCCATTTAATGAAGGACCATCAACAGATAATGCAACTTCAGAAATAACATCTATGTGCCATTCTGTTTTTCCTTCCTTCTGTTTTTCCAATTTAGTCTCTGAACCATTAAGTGTGGAAATGAGGCTGCATTGGAGTTGCTTTTGCATCCAAGGTGTAATGACAGTCAGTTACCTGAACTATTATTTCCTGCTGTCGAATAAATCACTAATGCTAATTAAATGTAAGTCATGCTTTTATTATGTGTTTGAAGCACCCAGTCAACCTCCAGGAAATGTTGTGTGGAATGTCAGCGACTCCAGGGTGATCCTCAGCTGGGAGGAAGTAAGAGCTATGGAGAATGAGTCCGAGGTGACGGGGTATAAGGTATGTGACAGCAGACCAGAAAAACAACTGAAAGCAATCCACAAATTGCTTTTTCTTGTCTATTTGCAAGGCAGAAAGTTCAGAGGATGCACAATACCACATCTAAACCATTTCAGGAGTGTCTCCTTTTTATGGATTTAAATCATGTTCTAACAATGTCTCGGAAACCGTGGTCCTTTTACCATGAATGGCGCTGAATGCCTTCTGCTCTGCGTGCAAATAAAGCCAGGAGCTGCAGACATTGCTGCCAGCTCTTGGGATCCCACTTACCCACTTCACTGTTATCACATGTATAACAGTTATGACATGTATAACATTTATTATAAATATATAACACTTATCCAAATGCATAACATACAATCCAAGATCTAGCTGATGGGTATAGTTTCCATTGCTGGCCAGATATATTAGTACCACATATATCAAACTGGTATTCTTAGAACTTTTTCTTCTTACCTACATACTTGTTGTTGTGATAGAAACTACATCTACTGTAAACCTGATCAGCGCACAAATGTGCAGGTATTTACATATGTTCATATGTCTTAAGTAAGTTTAAGAGAATAGGTGAGGATGTTCTTGCTGAGCTGCATACAACTGCATCCCACATCCTGCATAAAACATTTATGCTGAAGATCTGACTAGACAGGGCTCTCCGTTGTACATGTTTACAGCTTAGATAAGCCACAGTAGCCGACCTAAAAACATACCATGTGGTTTCAAACTGCATACCCTGACTCCCACAAAAATTTCAGATTCCCCTAATGGATATGGGTAACAAATGTAGCTACATATACAAAGATAAGCTGAATTAACGTTGGTTAATTTTACTGAAGAAAGTCACTTAGGGGTTTGTTTTTATCCCAAAGGGAAGGGCAGTGCAGTTAAGTAAAGCAGGTTCACCAAGAAGAGAAGCGCCAGCAGATGACATTGAGAACACCAGAGCAGCCGTGGGGCAGTCGCTGTGGCAGCGAGGCACATGGCTGCATCCCTCCAAAAACATTTTACAGCGAGGCACATGGCTGCATCCCTCCAAAAACATTTTACAGCAAGGCACAGCATTAGGGAGCACATCTCGAAGGAGGCAGCACGTGTGTAATTCCAGTGGCCTTGCGGGTTTTTTCATTCCATCATTATTGCTGTTTTTTTGCACTGGGAGATTCCCCAGCTTACCTGCTTGTCAAATTTGGGAAGCTGTGCCAAGTGAATGCACTGCATCCACACATTTTTTTAAACTTTGCCAGGACATACCTGTCTGTGCATAGCCTTGCCACTGACACAAGGAACTCTTCACACTCACTATCCACTGGGACAGGAAAGGCTGATACTGCTCTTAAATCCCCCCCTCTTGCCTGGTCACACTGAGCAAGGCTGTGACTCTCAGATGTCGCTCCTATTCTTCAGCAACATAGGACACCAAAAGCAGTTGACTTTCCTGACAAAATAATCACTCACATTGCAGAACATCTTCCAACGTAGTCTGTAATTTCTGTAGTTCTATCTTTCACAAGCTATTGGCATATGAAGCTGATCTAGATAATGACAGATCCAAATGGTGGGATAGAACAATATATTAAGACACTCAACAGAATATATTATTCATTTGTTATCATTATGCATTGTGCCATTTTAGATTAAAGCTGGAATAAAAGAGTTTGACTGATGTTACCTTCTTTCTTTAAATGTAATTCTGCCCTGGAGTATTAACCAAAAATCAGATCTTTTCTCATCTCATCTTTTTAAAGACTAAAACCTTTTTTCTAAGAAACACAAATAAAAATGGCAGGGCGGGGCCTGGTAGAATCACAGAATCCCAGACCGTTAGGGATTGGAAGGGACCTCAAAAGCTCATCCAGTCCAATCCCCCTGCCGGAGCAGGAACACCCAGATGAGGTTACACAGGAAGGCGTCCAGGCGGGTTTTGAATGTCTGCAGAGAAGGAGACTCCACAACCTCTCTGGGCAGCCTGGGCCAGTGCTCTGTCACCCTCACTGAGAAGAAGTTTCTTCTCAAAGAAGTGATGCACTGTGGCTCTGTGCTTGCATTGCAGGTTTTGTACAGGACCAGCAGCCAGACCAATATGAACATGCTGAGCACGGACAAGACAACGGCTGAACTGTTCCTCCAGCTTAACGACGACTACATCATAGAAGTAAAGGCAACGACTGATGGTGGAGATGGCACCAGCAGTGACCAGATCCTGATTCCCAGGCTAGCCAGTAAGTTGAAGCCGAATCACTGTGATTTTGTCATGTGCTCATGTACGGTCCCCAACCAATATCAGACTCGTGTCTCTGCCTTGGTGTGGTGAATCATTACTAAATTTGCAGTCGACACCCAGCAGTTGTCACAGCTTGTCTTTGCAGGAATTGAGTCCTCATTGATGGGGAGAAAAAATGAATCAATACTTGTATGGTAATAGGGTAATAAAAAGAAAAGGAATTAACAGTCTTCATGCCCTTATGCATGACAAACTTCTTTCTGTTTGATCGGGTAAATTACCATGTCAGTCATTATTTAAAAATGTGAGATTTTTTTTAGTTTTCACCTTTTTTTATTATTACCTTGAAAGTAAAGACCATTCACACACTGTCAGCATTTTGCAATAAATTTCTGTATTTTAAAATAGTGTATATTTTGTTAATTTTAATTCCCTATGAGAAATAAAAAATTACAGCAATTTTTGCTTAGCATCTCAGAAGAGTAAGAATTTGACAGAGCAGATACTCATGCTTTCATTTAACCCTGACCTTTTTCATTTGTCACAGGTATGGATGCAAGAGGTTCTGGTCCATCAGTCTTGAATATCTTCAGTGTATCCAGCTTCTTACCAACAGTATTTTCCTTGACTCTTAATTCAGTGTTGTGATGATACATTTTCAATTGCTGGGAAAAAAACAATGAATCGGTTACTACAGAAAAGTGCTTTTTTAAAAAAAAACTGCAGTGATTAATGCATGTTTTTCTTCTATCCTGACGTGTTTTTAAATTCTTTCTATTTCACTGTAGGTTGAAGTAAAAAATACCGTGTAAAGTTTAGCAAATCCTTTAAAAAGGAATCTAAAATGCCTTAATACTTGAACCAAAGGAGTTTACATATTTCACACTTCAGATACAATGTAAGAGAGAGGGAAGGCAATGACACAGTCATCAGAGTTACAAGGAAGAACTTAGCTCAGTGAGAAACTCCATTTTTGCAGTGACACTGAACTGTTAGGGGTATGTTCTGCATTGTTACGATAACATCATTCTAAATACGAAAGATGGAGTCAAGGACACGGCGTTTCAGCCGGATGATAACACAACACATCAACCAGGCGGCTGTTCTTAAGTCAGTGTCATAATTTAGTAGTTTGGCATCTCACAGAATCACAGAACGTTAGGGATTGGAAGGGACCTCAAAAGCTCATCCAGTCCAATCCCCCTGCCGGAGCAGGAACACCCAGATGAGGTTGCACAGGAAGGCGTCCGTTCTCTTACTGCCCTTTATATAAGTGAGTTATTTAAAATCTAGCAAGAAATCAAAGCTGGAAGGTAGAGAAAAGTCACAGTATGGAGATTAGTTTTGCACAGTCCATAGTGGGGTGTCCAAGAGGCAGGGCTTCCACTACTACTCTTAAATTATTTCACAGCTGTGTTTCAAAGGCGGCTCCCTGTTTTATCGCAGTGCACGTTTATGTACCTTTTCAAGCACCTAACCTTCCTTCTCCATCAAAGACTTCAAAATTAATTTCCTTATATTTCTTAACCAGGTTCCTTATTCATTACCAAGTTCTCCCACCTTCAGGATCATTTTTATTGCCCTTCTCTGAACTCCTGTCAGTGTGTTCATTTACAAAAGCGCCCAGTTGTAAGCGTTATTGAAATGCATGTGCACCATGGCCTTACGAAAAGGGACTTTGACCACCTCCCTGCCTTGTGATTTGGTGCTTCCAAACATGCAGCCCCAAATTACCTTGCTCTTTTGTCTACCACACTGCACTGTAAACTTGTCCTTAATTCAGTGTTACATTCAAAATTCTCCTTCCTGATGCTCTTTAACCAATTCAAAACTATTTCACCCCATCTGGCACTCTCGTGCACCCCATCACTTCCACATGATTCTGGTAAATTTATGGCAATACTCTAGTTTATAATTAAAAAAAATTACACAAAGACACTTCAGGCTTGTAATTATAGAGAAATATAGGCTTGCTTTCACAGCAATATATTAAAGATACATTAAACCATTTGACAGTTGTGAATTCAGTCAAAACAGCCTTTTAGAGAGCTGCCCACATACATGGTAGAGCAAGTGTTCACATGACACAAAGCATATCCTTTTCAAGAGGTTTTGTGGTTTTTTTTTCCTTATCTCACAATATTATTACACAGAAATATAAAGGGAGAGAACCAGGATTAGTGAAATTATGATAGCACTGTAGAAAAAAAATACCTTGATATGCATTCAAATAGCAAAGTACCTTATTAGTATCACATCCAGATGAAAATACGTGCTAACTGTTGAAGTAAGCAAGATGTGTATATACTGTACATAAATAGTTATAAATGGCTAGTTGCTTTTCCATGTGGCTAACCAGTGATGTTTTCAGACACTTGCAAACGGGGGGGGTGGGTGGGAGATGAAAAACCAGGTGTTACTCGTAAGCATATAGTTCTGTTTCCTGCAACAAAGGGCGACTCCTTCTGTTCTTGTTTCACAGAATTCTAGTCCATGTTCCTGTATTGCCAGTTTCATGCAATTCTATTGTATTATTTAATTTCTAGTTATATATCTCCATGAGATATGTACTGAGTACCTTGTTTCATATTGAAAAGTTTGAACTTTATCCTTGAACTTCCAGTTGTGTGTGTATCCTATGGTTATCTGTATGCATTTTTTTCTATTACTCTAATAAAATATTTATTACATTGAGGGATACTAGAATATTTCAAAGTTGTATTGCTTGTCTTGTATTATATATTTACACACACGGGGATTTACTGCATCAAAAAAAAAAATCCTTCTCTATTCCTGATGATATTTCTGCTCATTGGTGTTTCTTGGCAGGACAGGAGTGGTTTCCCTCGCAACAGCTTTGCTGCCCCAAGACTAAAGTGCCAACCCACATTCCCAGGCCTATTTCTATAGAAAGCAGGGCAGAAGGGGGAAGAGTAAGGACGTAAGTACATCCTGGTCTTGCCCTGGGGGAGTCAGATACACGTGGGGCAGGGACCTGAGCTTGTGCTCGAGCTTCTGAGCTCCACCTCTGCCCACAGCTTTCCAGCACGAAAGACAAAAAGGTCTCTTGCTTTTCCTGACTTGGTTTTCCCTCTGTCCAATTAGGCTGTTTCCTCTAAAATGAAAAAAAATTAATTTTAGTTCCTTGTAACAATTTATTTAGTATGTCACTATTTAGCATTAAATTGCATGGTCTGTTCTTCCCTGCAGATTGCCTGTTCCTTACATGCTGCAGCCTCCCGTAAAGCCTGAGATTTTTGGCACGAAAACCTTGCTGGCAACACAGGCAAAACAGAACTATATATATATTTTAAGCTTTTAAAACATAGCTTCTACTTATGTAACAGGGAGCTGATCCAGGTGCTGCAATAAGGGTTAATAATCCCAACACGTTTACAAGAGTATATGCAAGAAGCGAGAGTGAAATTGCTACATTTTTCTTGAGTAAATCAGGTTTTTCCAGATTTATCTTTCAGATGGTTGTAGGTAGACACTTGCATTGCTCTGGATTTGCCCCAATATTCAGATTAGTCTTCCTTTAAAGTGGTCTCTGTTTGTTCCTCATGTTAATTCAGTGAATATTCATGTTTATTTGTGGTAATAAGACTGACTTGATTCTCTGGGGAGACTCAGAAAAAAAAGAAGTGAGTTACTGGGAAAGTATGGGAGGAAAAAGAGCCGGTAAGAGGTAAGATGAAGGTCCCTAAGCCAGCCTTACCTCTCACAGGCTTTTCCAGAGCAGCTTCTCTGAGTAACCCATGATTCACAGTTCAGTCCTGAGGAGAAAAAAAAGGTCAAAGCTAATGAAAAAAAAAAGTGAATAACATCACTTGTGTGACTGGAACTGCGGATGGTGGGGAAGGTATTTCTGCCATTCCACTTGTACCAAAAATAGCCAGCACTTTATTGCTTACAATTGCTGTTATTTAAAATCCAGTAAGAAAGAACAGCAGGCTTCAGTCACAGTTTTTAGGAAAACACTGTTGTCAAGTGTATTTTTTAAAAAAATACACTATCCAAAAATGTAGGTGTATTCCTCCAGTAACGCTGAAGACTACCGAAGAGCAAAGCCAAAAGCTGGGCAGTGCAGAGGAGGAGCAGGGGGAGTGGGGAATGACGCTGGCCTTTCTCCATCTGCCCACGGCACCTGGAGTGAGAGGTGGGTGCTGCAAGGGGGGCAGCGCCCATAGCGGCATCGCCACGAGGCTTCTTGCTGGGAGCTCTTGGTGCAACACGTAACTGGCAACTCACTGGGGTTTTTTTTTGGACAGTGACTCAAGCTGTTGCAAAAAGGAGAAGGGCTAGGAAGAGATCCCTGCCACCACCTGGGTATACACACCAAAGAAAAAGGAATTGGATACAGCTTGAAAAATGATGCTCGCAACCAGAGCCAAGAGGAGTGCTGTGGTTTGTGGGAAGTGGGCACTGTTTGTTGGGTTATTTTGGGTGTGGGTTTAGAGTTCATCACCCTGCAGTGATATCCCCCCAAGATAGGCTTTCTAAAAGGTTTCTTGTGCTGCCTGCGTGATGGGGGTGGTTTGTTTTGTTTTTTTTTTATATTATCCTTTCCTGACAACTGTGCAAGGGGACTTGGTGACTCCTCCTGTGCTTCTGAAGTTTCAATTTCTCAGAGGTAGATGAGAATAAACAAACTTTTCTCTGGACAGTTTATCGGATATGTTGCAAACACAGCGGATCCTCTATGAATACAAAGTGAGTTAAAAACGAATATCACTTTAGCCCAAAGAAATATTGGAGATCTCCATTTTCTACTTAATTTGCCTTTCACTGCTGGAATGCAGACGTGGGCAGTGCCTGTCAGGTTATATATGTTATATCTTAATAACAGGCAATAAAGCAAGCTGTCCTGTATGAGAGAGTGCATTAATGTGACAGCTTTCTGTCTGAAATAAATAACAATGGAATATTGTGAAAATAAAATGAGTTTGTAAACAGGCACTTGCTCTCTTAGGAAAAACCACCTCCTCGATTGCTTTATGCTAATACTTTGAACTCCTGAAAAGCAATAAAAAAAAGGATACATTTAGCAGAGATATAACTGAATGTATGTTATTGTTGTTTTAGCAAGCCTGCTTGAGAAAAAGAGGCACTACTGTTCTTAAAAACTGATGCATATGTAGTGCAAGCTGTGGCATGCCGGGGGGAGATGGTACACCACTTAACTGGATCTACAGCTAGCAGTCCTAGCCTCTTAAAATAGAGCTTTTCTGCGAAGGCTTTCACAGTTCATGGCTGCCTTCCTGGTGTGTGTACAGCTCGGGTCTCACTGGGAAGCAGGATGTACAGCCTATAAAAAAGGACAGACATTTGTCTTTTTTCCAAGCTTAACACCTATTTCAACAGCCTCGTCAAGCAGAGGCTGCCTGCACCCTGCACATATGGGAGCTGTTTCTCAGAGCATCCCACTTCCAGCTGGGAAGTCTTTCCCGAGGTCAGCTAAGGACAAGAACATCTTGGTGTCAGTGGGATTGGTCACTGCCGCTCCATCAAAGCTTTGGCCGCAGGACAAGGAGATACAGCCGCTCCCTTGGCAGCGCTCCCAAAGGCAGGCACGTCCCCCCGCACTGCCCTTGGCAGAGGGCATCCTCCCAGGACAGACCCTCGCTCCTCCCCAGAGCTGCTCTCCT